CAGTGTTCATGGTTGGGCGGTTTTAAGGGTGATTTTTATTTTATTGCTCATTCTTTTCTGTATATTTTACATTTTCCAAATTGAAAACATATTACTTTTTTAACCAGGGCAAAAAAGTGAATACACCATCCTTTATAAAACTGTCCTCTCCATCTTGCGGATGAGTGAGACCAGGGTAACAGATGGGAAATGACTCGCCTCAGGTCCCACTATGACAAACGTGCAGGAAACTGGACTTCTAGTTCCGCACCCTCACTTGGGTCTGAGCTCCCCAGTGCTGAGACGAGAATCTCTTTGGGAATTTGACACGTTTTGAGGGGCCCAGCCCCACACTCTGCAGAAGGGCCCCCTCAGGAGCCCGGGATCACCGCCCAGGGCTCCTCTGCTGGGGCCGACTGCTGGGGTTTGGCAAGCAGAAGCCGGGACCCAGGTCTCAAGGGTTGACGGACGCGCTGCGCACGAGGTGTTGTCGGACCCCGGGCAGGGGCTGGCTGCTGGAGGAGCAGCGGAGGGCAGCCCGCACAAGATCTTTTCAGCAGCGCTGCTGCTCACAGAGACAACAGGGGGCCCACTGCACTTCTGCTCCTTTTATCCCCTCCCTGAGCCCCAGCCCGGCCCGCTCCCTCCTGCGAAGGTGTCCAGGGGCGAGCAGGGTGGGGGGCAGGAGGTGAACGCGCAGGACGACTCCGCTCGTGTCTTCCATGTTCGCAGTAACGGGGTCTCTGTGACAACACCCCACTGAGGCGGCTCCTTTATTTCCCACTCCCAGGGGCCCGCGCGGCGGCCACCCCGCGCTCGGATTCTCCCTGCTGCTCTTTCTCTTCCCCTGGGGCTCCTCTCGGCAGGTATCCAGTCAGACCTCTGCTGTCCCCGACAGGCCAGGGACGCCCGCCGCTTTCTCCCCGCGCCATCCAACCCTTCCTCCTCCAAGGACCAAACCTCCTCTGGGCAGCACAGTGAATCTTCACATGGTATCTTCAGGCCCTGGAGAACTCGCCTCCGGCAGAATTCTCCAGGCTCTGACTCTGGGCTGAGAGACGGAGAGCAGGGGAGGACTCAGCGCGGCAAGCAGCCAGCTGGCGCAGGTGACATGCGCTGGGAGACGAACGCTGGCCCCTTCTGCGCAGTTCTCCTCACCCTGAGCCAGGCTGGCCGCTTGCTTTACACCGTGATCTGATTTACTTTAATCCTCACAATGATCTTTATAAATCCGGCACTACGGCCCTCATTTTCACAGGGGGGAAGGGCACAAGTAACCTGCTCCAGCCCAGCCGGTCAAAACCCACGGGACGCTCTCCGCCAAGAGCGAACCCTAATGCCCACCTCAGACTTTGGGGGATCGTGACACGTGACGTAGGGTCACTGACGATAACAGACGTTCCACTGTGGCGGCGGGGACGTGGTAGTGCAGGCTGTGCGTGGGGGAGGGGTGTCTATGGGAACTCTGCACTGTGTGCCCAATTTGGCTGTGAACCTAAAGCTGCTCTAAAATATAAAGTCTATTAAACACACACAAACACACACTAGTAAACAGCAGGCCCAGGAATCAAACCTAGATCCGTCTCCTTGGGTGATGGTGAGTTACTGCCTTCAAAAACCTACTGAGCTCCACTGCATGGGTAGCAATAACAAGTGTGTGTGTGTGTGTGTGTGTGTGAGAGAGAGAGAGAGAGAGAGACAGAGAGAGAGAGAGAGAGAGGGAGCCATCCTACTGTAGATCACACTGGCGTGTCTGTGTAGCAGCAACTGGGGATGGAGAAGAGAGAAAGAACTGGAAAGAAGACGTCTTAAGCTGCATCCTGCCTCCATCACCTGGCAGCTGCAGGGGCCTGGCTTGGTCTCTTTGGTTTTAGTTTCCTCACCTGTAAATTGCAACGAGGTCACTGGGAAGGTCAAGTGAAATAAAGTGTGTGCGGAGTACTCTGACATCATAACCACTCTCCCCACATCAGTTGTCCCCCCTCCACACACACACTCACACACACTCACAAGTGCACGTCCATGGGATTAAAGGGGCAACCAGGAACCCTGCCCTCCAACTCTCGAATTCCACCTTCGCCCCTAAGCTGCCCGCTGTCTGTGAGATGAAGTGGTTGGACTGGCACTTCCATCTCAGTCTCTGAGCTCGGATTGCACACTCAGAGCTCCAGTCCAGCCCTTCCCCCGAGTCACGGGCTGAGCACGCAGCCCTCGTACCCCTTACATCTGTTCCCTATGGCCCCCCCGGCCTCCAACCTCCCCACACCCCACGCCGAGTCCTGGGTGCTCTTGGGAACCACTCAGATTCTGGGCAGGTGGTGTAGTTTACAAGCAGTAAAGGCCTCTGGACAATCACAAGTTATACAAAATGGTGTGGAGTTTTTCAAGTCTTGAAATGACATACTAGGGAAAAAAAAATAGGAAGAAGAAGGTGTAAAAAGCAAAGTCAAAATTATGGGTACTTGCCAGTAGAAGGAGGGAGGCTGGTGCACAGAGCCTCTCTGCCCACAGAGTTCCCCAGTGAGTCTGAGTGTCACCGTCACAGGTCCCCACGGGACTGGAGACAGAGGGCAGGATGGGTAAGACAGGACCAGGGGGCTCCGGGGTCCTGCCAGCCTCACCTCCATCTGCTTTGTGGTAACTTCTGCACAGGATTCATTTGAGGAAAGGCTCCCTTGCCTTGGAAAGTCTGGAAACCACGGATCTCTCTCCTATTACTAAGAAGAGATCTGCTATTACTCTTCCTTAAGTCACCAAGGGAGTGCCAGGCACATTTTAATCACAGAGGTGAGAGGTGAGAAGTGTTTCATACCAACACGAGGAGGTCCTGGTATTACTCAGTCACTGAACAGTGAGTCACAGGTAAAATCCCCCTGCCCCGAATGCAAAAGAACACAGGGGAATTTTTCTCACCACAGCCAAGAGCATCCCCGGGCGGGCCTCGTGGGGAGTTCCCTTGACAGCTCTGCGCCCTGAGCACCTATTTATGTCACATCAGGCTTTGCCGTTGACCGTCCATCAGGAGGTGAGCGTCCAGGATGGGAACATCTAGTGTGTGATGGTCCCTGCCAAGCAAAGCTTTGAAAACATGAATTTCGATCTAAGATTCCGCTGTCCAGGATGGTAGCTATGGGCTAATTAAATGTAAATATATTAAGATCAAGTAAAATTTAAAATTCAGACTCTCAGTCCCACTAGCCACACTTCATGCTCAATTCCTACATGTGGCCGACAGTTGTGGCGCTGAACAGTGAAGATGGAACTGTTCTGTTGGGCAGCACCGGAGTCACGCAACCGAATTCTCAACTGTCCCTTTGCCCGGCCTGGGCCCCACATCTGACCCTGCCTGGTAGCTCTCTCCACAGACAGCCCCTCCCCTCAAAAAGCTTCCCTTTCCCACCCATCCCGGCCCTAAGATTCCTGGAGCAGTGAGTCCAGAAGTGGCAGAACTGATGTGTAAGTGAGCACAAATGAGGTTTGAGCACGCGCTGACGTCGGCCTTTGTTCTCACTTCTGTACCTTGTTTGTTGTTAAGCTGCCCTGCAGAGGTAACCAACAGGGGTGATTTTTCCTAAAAATCTTCTAATTACATCAACACTGCTTTAGGGATCCTTAACTTTTACATCCTAAAATTCAGACCTGGATCTGAGATCTGATACTGTTCCATGGGAAGTGTTTAAACTTCACCACAAGAAATGCAAGTTAAAGGCGGGAGGGGTCTTAGGGACCATCTCTGCTCTCAGCTCCACTTTCCACGGAGGAGAAGGCACGACCAGGTGGAGCGCAGAGAATGCCTAAGGACACACAGCGACTCGGCACGGGGATCGCAGGTCCCGGCGTTCACCCGAGGGCTCTTCTCACTATTCGGCATTAAGGGGTCTTCTTCCTGCTGGACCCTCCGCGGCCCTACACCTCTTTGCTCCTCCTGCACAGCAAGACACCCCTCAGGGCCTCACCGCAGGCCCCCATTCCACGACCACCTTCACACTTGTCCTGAGTGTTTACTGATCTGTTACGTTCAAGCATATTAAAAATATATATATATACTTCCCAAGAGGCGGTTTCCCCAAAAGTGCCCCTGGGCTTCCCCCTGCAGAAGTCACCCTCACAGGAAAGGGAAACAGGACTCTTTGCCATCTAGGCTGAAGAGCCCCCGCGACCTACAGTTTCAGTGTCACGGCCAAAGGTCAGAAGCACTCCTCACTGCAGCCCAGCTTTCCAGCGTGTGTCTCACAAGGACACACATTTTTATTTTATATCATGTGATCCTTGCAGTAGGGGCTCAGCTGTCACCTCTCAAGTGGGAGTAAAACTTCAGAGACCTGGCCTGGGAGCTTGGTCATGGTTGTGATAATGAGGACTCCAGATCCTCTTTCTGCTGAGAAACAGAAGTCGGTGGACTATGACCTGTGGGACCAAACCTGGTCCGTTATGTTTTTGTAAATAAAGTTTTATTGGAACATGGCCTCAGTCCTTTGTTTACGTATTACTGACAGCTGCTTTCAGGCTGCAACAGCAGAGCTGAGTAGTTGCCACAGGAGCTGCGTGGCCTACAAGGCTAAAAAATATTTACCCTCTGTCCCTTTACAGAGCAGGGTTGCTGAGCCCTGGTCCAGAGTCACAGCAGATAAACCACTTTCCATATCCCACTTGCTACTTACTTCCAAATGATGCTTACGAGGAAAGGTCCAAATCCAGGAAGATGCTGGCAAAGCGAAACCATCATCACAGCCAGTGACAGCTGCTTCCTTTTAAAACCAACGTGCCTGTGAGTAGGGATTTGGGGGGATACATTCAGGTGCTTTGCTCTTCTGCATTTCTTGTTCTGATTTCCCCTCTGCTCGGCCAGATGCATTCCTATTGTCTAAAGGATGATCGGGGCTGCCACAGAGACGCGAGCTGATATCTTGCTTCTGACATCCAAAATAAGGGTTTCCAACCAGACGGTATTTTTGATGGCCAAGTATTATCAAGAATGAGGATTTTTCTAAATTTGTTTCCTTTTTGAATTACTATCACTGAGTTCTACATAAGGCAAGTCCCAACCAAACAAAGAGAAAGAAGACAAAGCCCACCGTTTCTGACCCCAGATCATTCGAACTAGGGGAAGAGGGAAAGCGAGCGAGGAGAATGTGGGTATTTGGACGCAGCTGCCGTCTCTGAGCCAAAACCACGGATACGAGCACAACTCTGAACCCAGACGGCCTGGGTTCAAACCTTGGTTCCACCTTGGACAATTCAGCCTCTTTGTGCTTCTGCTTCGTCTGTAAACAGGGGCAACGGTATCACCTCCCTTGCAGAATTATGAGAACTGAGCGTTGAGGGGCTGAGGACACTGCTCGTCACTTAGCAGCATTGTTTTGGGAGGGAGGGTGTTACCGCAGATTTTGGAAGGACTGCTGAAAAGAGGGTGGGCTCTCTCTCATTCCCATCTTGGGGCCTGAAGGAGATCATCTGAAAGGCTGCCCCTGCACCAACCTGGAGCAGCCTCAAAGCAAATTCTGCACCAGAAGCGGGGTTAAGCTTGCCCTTCTCCAGAGACCAGGGCCGTGAGCCCAGTGCCTGGCGGGAGACATTCCGGAGGGGACCATCTTGGGGTGGGGGGACCACTGAGCTGGGACCACCAAGACAGGAGCACATGCAAGTCACAGTCACAGCAGGTCTCAGGGGGTCCAGTCACCACCAGAGCCCAGATGGGCAGAGTCAGAGAGAGAGCCCACTGGGTCCCTGAAAGCAGACAGAGGAGGACCATGAGTTATCCTGGCCACAGGCATCAGCCACCAATGCCAGCCTCTCTGAGCCACCAGTGTGGGGGCAGCCCCACCGCCCCCAGCATCTCCATCACAGAAACCAGCAGAACAAGAGGCCACAGGCTACATCAAAGAGCCACCACCAGCCCTGCAGCCAAGCATCTAGAAACCACACCCCTCTCCCGTGCACCCAGGTGCCGCACTCGGGGGAGAGGGGTGGACACTGGGAAGTTTACAGACTGACATCTAGCCCTCATCCCGTTGTCCACCCTCCCTCTTACCACCTGCCCAGCAGGGTGGGGATTTAGGACACGAGATCATTTAACAGAAGTAAATTGTCCTTTTATGGTTGCACCCCTGAGGGTGGTGAGAGTCAATATGGGACTCCGTTCCCCTCTGGAGTTGGATTATGCCCCTTTAACAGCGCCCCTCGCGCCCAGAGGCACTCCCACACTCCGATCCCCACCTGCACAAGCTAGTATCTAAAACCAGCTTCGGGGACGAGCCAGAGGCGGCTTCGGCTGAAAGGGAAACGAGAAGGAAAACCCTTCCAAGAAAGACTCACTCCCAGCAGCTTTATTTTAAACGCAGGGAAAATGCAACTCCTTGCGTAAACAGACTTGGAAGGTACGACTTTTTCCTGCTCCCTTTGTAGCTAATCAGGGGAGACACCGAGGGCGTCAAACAGCTCATCAATAAACATGTATTGTTCACACACTTTGTAGAATAAGGCTTATGCTTCGGGACTATTAAGTAAACTACTTTTTTTTCCTTAAGCTTTTAGGGCAGAGGGAACGAAGGGGAGAGGAGGAATCCCCAGGCCTCCGTCCTGGGAATGCGCTGGAGGCTACCCACCCTTGGTGACTGGGGACCCACTCAGCTCCAGCGGCGGGAAGTCAGACGGCGTTCGTCCTCATGCGGTTTCTAAACTTCCTAAGATAAATCCACCAGGTTTCTCTGCCAATAGTAAAGCTCTTGCTCAAAGCAGGCTGGGTGGCCTCAGATGGCTCCTCTGGGCTGGGGGGCGTTGGACTCACCAGGGTAAACGACGCTGTCACCACCAACTCGAAAGGCCACCTATCAACATGCCACGTGCCAGGCCTGGAGCGCGTGCGCACACACGCACATGTGCACCCCTTCCCCCCAAGAGGCTGAGGCCAGGACGGCACCCACATCAGGTGGATGAAGAGCAGGTCCGTCCTGCCCACTGGGCGCCGTCTCCACCCACAGAGAGCGCAGAGACCAGACCCGGGCCTGGGCCACCAACGCTGGGAAGGTGCCCTGCGGCAGCAGGGCTGAAGCCAGAAGAGGGATCCTCGACCTTCGGGCGAGTTCTCTCTGTGGGGGGAGGCGGGAGCAGAGGCCGGGTCGGGGGGAAGGAGGAATGTCTGGGTCACTGGATGGGCCCCCTCCCCTCCCACTCCTTTCTCTCCGCTTCCCTGTCTGGGTCTCCGCTGGTTTTGAACTTTGTTGAGAAGCGGCTTGCTAGATGCCTCCCAGCCTCTGCTTCCTCTTGTCAGTCAGGAGCGAGTTACATCGTGTTACCAGAAAATGATTTCACGTTCCGAACAGGGTTCCCCCCCGACCCCAGACCCCATCTGAGAGCCGCAGCCCTAGTCCGGCCCAGGCACCGCGGGAGGAGACGGTGGGAGGCACTGGCCGGGCGAGTCGGGGTGCCGGGGCCGGTGCTCTGCGGCCCCGTGTCCCGAACAGTCA